TCATTTGGCTGAAAAATTAACTAGATTTTTTTTAAAAAAAAATTGACTCTTTGCAGTGTAAATCAGCCTCCCCGATATTTCTTTTGATGTTTGCTTTTGCATTTAGGTGAGTGCTAACTACCACGAAATTTGTTATTACCTCTGTAGTATGGCTTTCCTGTACAAATGCTTACTCAGTTGATTTTATCTGTGATGGTTATTGGGGGTAATTGATTATTATTCTATCAAATTGATAAGATTTGTTCCTCGGTCTTTCGATGTCCTTTGTTTTTTATAGTATATTCTTCTAAATATTCCTTCTGTTTTACAAGGTTGGAGAGTCCCAGCATCAAGCTTCTAGGAATAATTGTAGTTATCTCTACTGGGGTTCTCTTGACAGGTTCGTACACTCGGAGGGCTTAGAATGCATGCAGAGAGACTATTGCTGAGTATTGAATTTTGTGCTGCTGCTAAGTATGCTGGTAGCTACTAGCTTATTTATTAAGATAGTAGTATTGCTTTATCTTTTTTGTGACTTGCTCTTCTATGTCATTATTAGATTGTATTTTACCAGCACAGGTTGAAACATGATCTGTAGGTAACAAACAAAAGTTAGCTGTTCGGAAGGTGGTATTATGATAGACTAAGTACTACCTGTCTTAATTGTCATTCTTGACTTGTTTGATAAATGAAGAAAAAGCTGAGCTTTCTCATTATGCAGTATAAGTCTATTGCCTTGCAAAATTCCAATGCTGGAGAATACATCATTTCGTAAATTAGGGGCGGGTGTTGGTTTAAAGGTTTTATCAGTTCAAATTATCCTTTTTAACTTGTTTTTGGGATAATGGCTACTGAATTTAACATAGTGTAGACGCCATACCTGATAAGGTAAAACATGTCTGTGGTGTTTACCACAATTTGGATATCAGTGACTCTTTTGGTTGTGTTGAGATGGTTATCTCCTATTTGGCCAGCATTGTTTCTCTAGGCATGTTTAGATCAACTACTGAGCTGAAGAAGTTGGCGAGACGAAATGCTGTTAAATATATATTCTGCTTCACATAGAGGTTGAATTGACGGGTGTGCAACAAACTGTAACTTGTACTCCAGTAGAGTGTTTCTCTTATATAAGGCACTATATTGTTACACTCTTCCGTTGTGCAATCCTTTTTAGTGTAATAACGTAATGTACCTTTTGGAGTTATCTTTTATGATCTAATGATGTGTTTTTTTATCAGTTTCAAAGGAGACTGAGTTTGACTTCTGGGGATTCATTTTTGTGACACTTGCCGCTGTTATGTCAGGATTTCGCTGGTCCATGACTCAGATACTGTTGCAAGTAAGTGTCCTAACTAAAGTTATCCAAATGTTTTTGAATCACATGTTTCTCTTGTTCCTCAATGCTCCTCGTGCTAATGTTTAGCTTTGTTTTTCTGCATGTGGATCTTGATATTTCAAGAAAGATTCTTATGGTATGTTACCTACTTAGCTGAGCTTAATGCTTTATCTTTGAAAACTTATTCCAACAATAAGAGAGGAACCCACAAGGGCACCTTAATACTTCTAATGTCAAATTATTTGGTAGATTTGTTGTGCATATAATAATTTTTTATTCAGTCAAATTAAGGCCTTCTTTGGATATTTACCTATGTTTTTTCCCGATAAGTAAGCTATGTTGAAAAGGTTGGAGCCTTGAAGGCTAAGTAGAATTTTTTTTTTATCAAAGGCTCACGCCCAGCTTTTTGAGCTAAGTAGAAATCTTTGCTCTGTTCTCCAAAGCCATATGACCTTTTTATATGAGGAGCCATCAGTTGCTTGTGCAGTTGATGAAATTTAAACACAAATTTTGTGTACCATAAATGTGTATGACACTAATGTTGTTGATCTTTACCTTAGAAATATCAGGAACAATGTTCCAACATACAGACTAGCTGTAGTTTGTGCTGGATCCTCATTCCATTTGACCTAGGGTTTCACGGGGTGACAATAATCTATCTTTGGCAGGTCTAAAAAATCCAATCACCCTGATGAGTCATGTAACCCCAGTGATGGCCATAGCCACCATGGTACTCTCTCTCTTAATGGATCCTTGGAGCGATTTTCAGAAGAACACATATTTTGATAGCCCGTGGCATGTCATGCGCAGTTTTTTACTTATGCTTGTTGGAGGAACCTTGGCCTTTTTCATGGTAATGAGCATTTATTTTATCACAAACTTGTTAGTAGTATCATATATGTTGTCATGATGTTTTGTTTTAAATGCAGGTGTTAACAGAGTATGTACTTGTTTCAGCAACCAGTGCTATAACTGTGACAATAGCTGGGGTAGTAAAAGAAGCTGTAACCATCTTGGTAAAATTTAAAATTTGTATATATCTTCCAACTTTCATCATCTATAGCAGAATCTGAATTTTATTGACCCCTTGCAAGGTAGTATCTTAATTCTACCTAATATTTAAGTGAATACTGCTATTAATAACAGAGAACGCTTCATTTGAACTAGAACCAGGATAATAAACATGGTCAACCATTGATAACTCATGAAAAGAATGACTAATAGTCTTGAACCGGTTTTTTTGAGTGTTCCTTTTCTAAATATTTTTTATGCACCCAAGGAAAAAAAATACAACCAGCAGCTTCCTCGATTTTAAATCATGATCAGTAAGTTATTCAATTTTTGGCACATCTAAAGTTTAAAGATAGCTTGCGTAATAAAAGAAGCTGTCAGTAGTGTTACATGACAATCAACGTTTTGTATTAGTAGTATTACCATGAATATCATACCATGATTGGCAATATCTCTATATATAAATAGAACCCTATACTCCATAAGTTCAGATTAGGCATGCTTCTAGGTATAGGCATCTGCAACTGTGATTGAAGAAATTTTCCACCTTGTCCTTTCAGGTCGCAGTATTTTATTTCCATGATGAGTTCACTTGGTTGAAAGGGCTTGGTCTCGCCACCATCATGGTTGGAGTTAGCTTATTCAATTGGTACAAGTAAGTGTCTATTTTTTTGAAACATTTGCAACTTTAACTCATGGGCAACACAAATGTGAGTCCATAGTTCTTAACTTGTATAGAAAAGGGCTAATGAACTAACAGAGGAATAGCATTCAGAATAGGTTAACATGAGATAATGCCATAATGAATGGTAAGCTAGTTCAAAATGCTAGTAGCATATTCCATATTGCTAAACCGATTGTTGTTTTTTACCTAGTAGTTGATTCTTTTTGCATCAAGTTTGCAATCGTCAACCGATCTTTAGATCTTAAGTCTTACGACATCATAATAATCGCACTACACATTAAGCACTTACTGTACCACATATCACATAATTGATTCCTTGACATGCTATTCTTTTGCCTTTTCATGGTGTGACGATATCTTATTTATTGCTAATCATAATCATAGGTATGAGAAATACAAAAAGGGTCACATAAATGAGGATGAAGTTAATTCACCTTCATTCGATGGAGATGCCAAATACATCATTCTAGATGACTTGGAGGACCAGGATGAGTTTCAGGATGAAGATACATAATTTTGCAATGTGGCAACATTTTAACTGTCACTTGGTAAGGACCTCTTGCATCTCTTGTCCAATATGGACACCCTGGCATGACTGAGTAGGCTCTAGGCGCGCGTGTTTGATTATACAATTCCATATTTGCCAAAAATGTTTGAACCTGCAACTGAACCAACATAATATTCATGCCAAATAATGCTGCAATTAGATATGTCAATACCATTTCTGACATAATATTTGTTCGGATTAATCTGTGGTTCTGTTCTCTCGTTTTGCTCACCATTTTTGTCCCAAAATTGATGCAGTGATGATTTGACTAATCCAATTTTGGCAGGATTTTTATGCCCTGAAACCATTCATGTCTGCTTATTGATTGAAACTATAAGTACTTATGGATGTTTCCACTTAAACGAGGTGTCACGGACAAGGGCACTGCTAGACTTGCTGATGTTCTGCAACCAAACTTAAAAATTATCTGCCGGAGCTTGTCCGTCTCCAAACAATGAAATGGTTTCTCACTTCTCATCCTTCATTAAATAGCCAGGCAAACTAAGAGCTAACTTCATCGAAATCCCCATTTTTGAGAAGATTGGCAGCAGTTGAAATTGTTATGGCTGTTTATATTGGTATTGCCTGAGAATGGACGTCATTTACGTGTTTTTCTTCTCTTTGTGCGAGCTGGAACATGCACATATTCATTCTTAAACCTCCACATTTTTGGTGCCTAGGAATATTCATTCTATATAGATCAAATTGTAAGAGTTACCACACATACCTCCATATTTGCTGTTCCCTTGAAAGTTAGGGAGCAGCCTTTTGATTGTTTGTATTTGTAGAATTGTAGCATGTTATATACTGTAACTTGTACTGTAACACTTCCAGTCTACTTGGAATCACAAGTTTTAAATTTGTGTGTAGCATTTTGTCCATTCATTTGCCCTTGTCAAAGAGGAGATATTTGTACTACTTGTGCGCCAAACTGCCAATAAAGGACAGAGACCCAGCTCGCTGGACCTTCATTTGAATTACAAATGAATACTGTACAATTGATCACACAGAGGTGGAGACTTCTCCCTAGCATGAGATAGTGCTCAGGTGGTAGAATGAGTATTCTCAATCAAGTCATCGAAGAACAGCAGTTCTATTGACTACAATAGTTTGCTATTGGATAATCTTAGGTGATTAAAGATCAGTAACACATTCAAAATTGCACAACAACATTACATCCACATCACTGATAAATTTGCACACCTTTGCTGCGTCCTCATCTTCAGAAGAAATCCCCTACTCTCCAACATCAAAGTACTGAATCAGACTAAATCAACAAGAAATCCCCTACTCCCCAACATCGACATGCCGCATGCGCATGGTGAGCGGCGCAAACTGATCTAGTTTTGCCAACCCACCGCCTTGGCAATTGGCACCCCCACACCAGAGAACATATCAGGGGCAGATGTTAACTTGGCATGCACATGAGTTATCCAAAGATCTGATACAGTACAAAATTAAGACGAACAGATCTTATACCTCACAAATTCACAAACAACCTGTGTGTATACATAGATTGGATATACAAATGTACTATGAGTTTAGAAAAATGGAATACATACAATGTCAGCAATGCAGTCGAGCAGAACTGTACATGGGCACTATAGACGGTAGGGGCCTCTTATTCATGGGAACACGGTGTGGATGGATCGGATTTCATCTCGATCAGATGAGTAATTGAGTAGTAATAAAAATCAAGATGCCGCATGTTTATTGATCTATCTACTGGATGATGTAGGCCAGCGCGGTCTCAACTGAGGCAATCATGTTCTTCATCCTGACGGTAAGGAAGCAGCTTTCGCTGGCGAAAACCCGTGTAGCGGCGCGCTGGCACCGGTGTGAGCTGAGCCACGACAGCACGTAGGGCAACCCTGCCATCACATTTTTGGAGAACTCGGTCCTCATTTTATCGAGATCGTTGTACAGCCTTCTCCTGAGAGCAGCCATGTCAGGGTCTGCGCTAGGCTGCACGGAAGGATCGATGGCGGCAAGAAGGCTCTCCAGTTGGTTCACGACATCGTCCTGGTCCAGGCCTTCAATCTCCCACAGCTTCACTGCCCCTTTGATGGTGGTGTACGTTGGGTTTGTGGTAACTGGAATCGCCGTCCATATGCCCCAGACACGGTTCACAACGCCCAGCCTGTACATCTCGCAGGCCACCTCTGGGGAGAGATCATGGCCATCGAGCAGCTTCTTCTTTGGCCTCCTCTCCACATACGCCGCAGCCTCGTCCGCCCTGATCAGATCATCCTGCGACAGGGGGCTCCTGTACTCTGCTGTTACAGTCAAGAGCTTGGCCATGGAGGCCGTCGCAAGCTGCCCATGTTCTTCCTGATCCGGCGCGTTCACGTAGACGATCAGGTTCCTCTCCTCATCGCCCAACAGGTCCTTGATATGGACGATCGACTTGTGCTTGTTGGAGCTCAACAAAACGTCATGGCAACCGCTGTCGACGGAGGAGATCTCTACCCCTGGGTGTGCTGCCCTGATGGTGACCTCCAAGTCCTGCGCGACAATGGAGGTCAAGCCACCGATGCAGAGTGCCATGGCGTCCCTGATGTTCTGCACGCTCTCGTTGACGAAGGAGTAGGTGCCGAAGCCCTGGGATGCCAGGTAGTAGAGCGTGCGTGGGTCGTGGTAGGAACCGAAGCCGAACGTGTAGGTTCGGAACCGGCGCCTCACCGCTACGGCCGTGTCTGACTCCTCGAAACTTTTCGTCCCCTTGACTTGGCCGAACTTGTCTCTCCTTACTAATTGCAAGCTTTCCTTCAATAGTCTGATGTCCTTTCCATCGGAGAGGACGATGATGCCACTCAAACGGCGCGCTTCCCGCCGAGGCCGCCGATCCAGCACCTTGCAAAATAAAGTTTGAGAAAGAAAATTGTAAGTTGATGATGTAGTTACACAAGGATTCAATCCGGGCCGGGAATTACAAATATAGTAAAAAATTTATGATAGATACAACGAGAGACCGGGATTTATTTCGGGCTGGGAACCAATTTACTTATGATAGGGATAATAAGAGACCGGGATCAATCCACTAGTCAAGAGGTGTGGAACTAATCCGGATGTTTTGTTGTACCTAATATGAGTAAATTGGTTCCGGACACGGAATAAATCCCGGTCTCTTGTTGTACATATTATAAATTTCTTGTTGTACCTATCATTCCAGGCCTGAAACGAATCCTTGTGTAACCGAACAACAAGAGAGCCATGCGCGCGCCATTGTTAACGCTAAAATTTGGTAACATTCTTCTGTGGATCCTGTTAATTAAAGAGCACAATCAGCCGATAGAAAGCTTATCCAGTAGAGATCGAGTTCGAGGAGTCATGAAGACCATGATATGACAGCTTAAGTTTATCTATTAATTAGGCAAGTTTTGTATTTAGGAAAGTTTGTGTCATGTTTGATAAGGACTTTATGTTTTTCCTTTTATCTTTAGAAAAGTTTGTGTCGTATCCAATTAGGACTCTTATCAGCCTATGGATATAAACATGTACACCCAAGGTCCCTGTAAATTATCTACACAGATCAATAAATACTTACGGCGCATCGCCACCCTTTTAGTTTTCGTTTTTCTCCGACGAGGGGTAAGGCTTGTTATGGCTTGTTTGTATCGGCGAGGCTAGGACTTCGACACTCTAATCTTGTCGATGTAAACACCTATATATCATATACCCTATTCAATCTAAGTTGACAATGTTTTTATTCTATATCGGCTGGTCCTTTTAGGGTTTTCTTGTTGGTTTAGATTAGTTAGGGTATCCACCACCCTGAAAATCAATCAAAGGCTCGATTGTTTAGACCTTATACTTCCTTTCATACTTAGTGTTGTATCAATTGAGTTTGATCTACTAAGTGGTGTTCGGAGTTGTAAGAACTAACTTGCTTTTCGATTGTCGATGAGGCTATCATTGGGGTTTCAGCCGATGAATTATTTGGACGTTGTATCGGCTTATAAGGATTATATACAAGTTGGTGTTAGCCGATTGTAATAAAGGTTTCATTGTTTACTTAATCATTTGGATTAACGACATTGGATTTTCAACCGACGTATGTTTTAACCATCGGATCAACATTTATTCTATCATATCATTATCGGCCAATTGGTTTCTATTGGATTATATTGTTCTATTATTATAAGTTCTCTTTGCTTATCCGATTGTCTTTATATCACTGTTATACAAGTGTCAGAATCTACATCTCGGACATATAGCCGATTGCTCAAAACCATATCGGCATCGATTGGAACTACTATATCGGCTTATCGGTCGATCAGCTCTTTGATCGTCCGTTTATACATCTTGTCAATTGTAGGATCAAACCGACTGGTGTGCCCCCATCTATTCAATATTTTAGGACCTCCAATGGAGCTAAGAAGATCTCTCAGGCCTTCGTGTGTTTGTTGATACGATTCGCATCAACACAGACTTGGCACCAGGCCGGGCGCGGATTTTTCGTCAACAGCCATGCAGTGAATGATAGACACGCGATACACTGCTATGCTCCTATTCCTTCGGACGGCGTGGGCCCGCTGAAAGCCGCATATATTGCCATGTCCCCAATGCGCCATGGACTGGCCACGCGTCAGGCGGCCTCATGGCGAAGCCATGCAGCGAATGACAGGCACGCGACACACCACTCTGCTCCTATTCCTTCGGATGACATGGGCCCGCTGAAGGCCACATACAGCGCCACGTCCCCAATGCATGCAATTGAGTTGCCATCCGCTGCGCACCGCCCTGCAACTAGCATCATGATGATGCTTGCAGTCAAACTTCTAGGCCCACCACCCTGCATTGACCGCTGAGTGAAGTTTCCAAATTGAGGGGGTGTTTGGGTGAGAGGGACTAAATTCCTCCGGGATAGTAGCTATACCTCGGGACCATTGTGTACCTGGGGCGTATCACACAAGTACCAGGGCCCAGCACATGCTCTCACTGCTATTTAACATAGTGTCTCGTTGATTTGGACTAGTTTTTCAAAGATATCAAGATAAAGGAGTTCATGATGGTCGTCATTGCTTAGAGATGTGGATCTTGTAGGTCTCGACGCTCTTTGAGACCTTAGAGATGTAGATTTTATAGGTATCGATGCTCTTCTTGAGACCTTAGTGACGTAGATCTTGCGGGCTTTCGATACCCCGGTGCCTCGGAAGACAGGGGACCCGGTTCCTGTTCCTCCAACATAGTACAATATTGATTATGTTACTACCTGGTTGCAAGGATAGCTGTTCTCTCTACCCGTCTCTCTGTCATTCATACTAATCTGATATAGGCATATTGACATATTGTTAGTACGCTGATTTGGACATGTCTTATTGCATAAACACCATTTCAGATGATTGTTGTCTATATAATTATCCTGCGTCATACCTAAACGATATGTAGATTACTCCTCCCTTCCCTAGGCTCATAGCCAGATTCGAGGATGACAGGAAACTAAGGGGCTTATCACTTTGATGCCAAAAAAACCTTACCAAATTTTGACATTATTGCCAATATTTTGGTAGGATTTCTTATATAGTTGTCAAATTTTGGCAGCAAACTAAATGTAGTCACTTTTTTTGTAACTTTACCAAAATTTGATAAGATTGAAAATGACATCAAAGTGAACAGGCCCTAAGATCGAGAGTCGGCGTGGCGGAGTAGATCAGCATATATCCTCTCTGATCCCTCTCACGGGAACTCATCAAGGGAAGACGAGTTTGCTTGGTGCAGAGGTTTTTTTAAGACCGACTCATTGTGGTCACTACGCAACATGGGATAGAGCAGTAATAGATGACTGTTTACTAGTAGTACTACAATTATAAGATCAAAAGTTTCTAAGCAGAGAGCGATGCAAAGGGTTGTTGTTGTCTAAGAAGATTGAAGCTTAGTCGTCGTTTAGCTTCGTTTCTCAGTCTTTTTGCTATCTCTTTTTTGTTTGCATTGGTCCTTATTCCTTAGGTTTTGAGTCTAAAAACCTATATTTTTTGTCTATGTATATCTATATATGTATATAGAAATCGGATTTTTATTAATTATGTTTTTAAAGAAATGAATCGTGTATATGATATTAAGCTAGACCATGTGCTAGACAACAATCTTATCGAAAACACTTCATATCGAGCGTCCGGGAACGAATAAAATATCGGACGAAAAACGTTAGATGGGGCCCACCATTGACCTCGATCCAGTGCTCTTCATCGGCGACTACTCCATCGCCCCTACCATGTCCTTCCCCAACGCCGACGCTGACGACGGCGACTTCACCGATGCCCCCCTCATCGACCCCTCCAATCCCACCTTCCCCAACCCAACCTCCTCCTCCACCGCCGCCATGGCTCCCGCTGTGGGAGGCGGGAGTGGGAGCGTGGGAGAGGTCGGCTCCTCCTCTGGCGACGGTGGCGGTGAGAGGCGGCGCAGCTCCCCCTTCCTTCCACGACAACGATGACGATGA